CGTTGTAATTTTTCGAAAATAAATAAGAAGATAGTTTTAAATATTTGTAGATAAGTTCGCACGTTATAAGCCTCACATATACACATCAACTGATATTGCTTACATATTATTGTCCATTCATTATAAAGAAAAGCATACGTACACATTTCTTTTTACAATCACATCAAAACTGATGTTGCAACTTCGGGATCGAGAATTTCTTGTCTACCTTTGTACGTTCATAGACTTTTCCTTCGGTACTAAGGCACATAATCAAAACATTAGTGAGTTTAACCGAAACAAACATTTATTTACCTTTAATTTGAACATATATATGGTTAACGTAGCATCATCCAAACTCATAAACATCATACACTTGAAGAGTAATATAGTATCACTATCAATCGAGATTTGGCATATCACACTGATTTATGTAACTTAATTAGCACATAGTTAGCATTGAATACCTGATTAATTCGAAATCAAGTCACTGCGATTGGCATGATAATTTTTGTTCCTTTCAAATATTTGTAATATGGTCTGCGAAATTGTGCCGACTGATTAAAAAAATGCAAAATTTTCTGACTAATAATAAACACATTATAATTATGGGTACGTCTTTGTCATACAATGGCTTGATGAATAACCTACTAGAAAAAGATGTAAATGAAAGGGATATCCTTTTGCTTAAGAAAAATGCTTTAGAATATATTGAATTCTAAAAGGCTTATCTTTAAACCATGACCAAAGAATAACTAAATGAACTTAAAACAAAAAAAATATCAAGAACAAGTTCTAGACACCAGCATTGGACATGCATGATCTATCATATCTTGGATATTAAAACCAGATTCGATCTAGATAGTATCAATATATACATGATTATAGAGTAATACTATTTATTATATAATGAATGGTGTGTGTCCTTATAAACTTGATGAGCATGACCTTAATTTTTGGATTCGTGTCTCATATTTGTTAAATACAAAAGCACAACAAGATCATCGACGTATCAAATATTAACTTTTGATCATAATTTTTTTGAAATATTCGTTTATTAATTGCTAAAAAAATTAGTCAAAAAGACGACGGAATACGTGATATGAGGTTCATGCACTTGTAAAAAAGATAATACTATTTTATAGTCGCTGAGACTGTTGTCTGTTGTCGAATTAGACAATAAGTCCATGGTTTTATCAAATCATTGGTTTTTTTTTTGAACCTTATTATCAATCAAATCATTGTTTATAAGCCTATTTCGATAAACTAATTGTTTTATAGCTAGGTTTGCTAGTTGTGTGAGTAGCGATCAAAAATAAAATAAAAATTAAGGACCTCAAATATATGGATTATTGTATTCTGATAATATTTAGTCCAATATATGGATTTCGATCCAAGCAACTCGTAAAAAAGGAAAAAAAAAATGTCATTGTATTGGATTGACTTAATTAAAATCTCATTAAAACCTTTAAAATCTCTCACGCATAATTCAATGAATATCGCCCCTGACCCTGAGTCACAATTCCATCCTAATTTTGTATCAAAATGCAATAGTGTCATTTCAAGTGAGATATTTAACCAAATTTGGAGTTTGGAGAAAATGATTTGGTCTAAAGGGTATAATTAATATTGTTTTATATAAAAACTAAGGCCAACATGATAATCTATTAAACATATTATGCTTATACGTATGTTGAAAAATTGAAAAATACACATAAGAAAAAAGAGAGAGAGAATGGTAGGGTTGGTCGAGAAAGGGCTAAAGTCTTGAGAGTGAGTGAAGGAGGCTTAGAGCAGCCGACATCGAATCTTTTAAAGGTTGCAAAAATCTCGAAACACCTTATCACAAAATATATACGCGCATCTGAATATCTTTTCATTTTTTATTATTATGATCTTTTAAAATTACCATTTTTATTTCTTTTCAGTTCAGCTTTTCTTCGAACATAAGGACTTCAAAGCTTCCTCTAAACCTATCTAGAACCATAGATTTTATTGTACTTTTTATTGTATGTTTTGGAAATTTTTTTCGTCGACCAACTTGTTATATAATATTGAAGAACTAATCCACTAGAAAGTACAACTATAAACAATGATCTTCCCAAATGTTTTTAGGGACTCAACTGAAAAAGATTTAAATACAAAGTTTAGAAATCACACAATCGAATGATATAAAGTTTAGAATCGTCTCGAATGATGTTTGAGGCGGAATTAATGTTAAAATTGACAAACTTATACAAGAGATAAACTTCTTACCGAGAAAGATGACAAATTTCATAATATGAAATTATATATTTTGGTGTTGTTTTAACAACTAAATTCGGAAAAAACTCTCTATATTCCATTTGCTCGATAGAAAAACGATTTGGTATATAAAAATGATTCTGAATATTACCTTGGAACAGAGACTAATACCATTTTTTACCATAATATCATGTTTTGACCACTAACTTTTTTTATCGTTTTGTCCACTTCTAAAGACTGAAACGTTAGGTTTCGCTGAGGCCCAAATCTGATATTAAATCTAGATAAACTATAAAGTTTTTGACAAAGTTGATCTGGCCTAACTGGTCAAACTCTTTGTCACTACGGGTCTAAATGTGAGAAAACGTATTTGATTTTGTATATTGTTTACAAACTAAACTAGTATTTGATTTAATCCAATATGTAACGTAGTTTACAAATTCTTTTAATTTTGGCAATCAATTTAGAAATGAGGATGATAACGGTGTGAACTTATTCCATTTAACTGATCAAGTCCAGAAAATCGATCATAAAACTAATTACATGATATGAGTTTAAGCATTATAGACAAAAGAATCTATATACTGTATTGCCAAAATTTAGCCGCCAATCCATGGGTAACTATTGGGCCTAATCATGGGCCAAAATTAGTTTTGAATCAACTCAAAATACGATTTAAAAGAAACAAACAATTCTCAGAGACGTGATGAGCACTTTCAACTTTCAAGCAATGCAAAAATTTGGAAGAACATTACAAATTAAGAAGAAGAAACAAAAATCCAAAGTTTGGGGGGATATTTTTTTGGGGCTGGGAAATTGGATAACGAAGGAACGTTTGAGAAGCCATTTACCTATCAATTTTTGGACCGATAAGGTATTTGGACATCAATGGGCCCATCATTGACATTGACTTATATAAGCTACAATATTAGTTTCCACTTGGTGAA